TGTGTGCGTGTGTGTGTGTGTGTGTGTGTGTGTGTGTGTGTGTGTGTGTGTGTCGATTACTGTCTTGTGTACGTGGCGCGCCCGCCAGACGCTCCACCAAAGATGGCGGGCGGCGTTCAATCAATATGCGCCCGATCACAGTCACGGGCCACGAACGCGCATGCTGAAGAACTTTGCTCAAGTCACCTGCCAGGAACAAGCACCGTCTGGAATATTGAGGAAAAAGTCTTCCGGAACAGTGTCCAACGCAACCTGTCGAGAACAACAACGTTGATTAAGAACAAGGGCACATATTTGGCATGTGGCGTGTTTGCGCTGAAAGCGAGGTGACATTTTGGGCAGTCGTCAGACTAAATGTTTGAAAAATATTGCAAATGTTGTTTCTTGGGAGTTTTTCAAAGGTCATTTCTTGAAGCTGGTAAACCGCTTGTCGACCTTTGACCCCTGCCCCCTCATCTTGTGTTTCCAACGGGTGTTGACGGCTGTTGTCGTCAAAGCATGGGGGCGTGGGGGGGCAGCTGCGAGTAGTTTCATGCAGTGACATATTTTGGACTTACAGGGGGCGCTAAATAGCCATCTGTCGATTTAAATGTTACTCGCTCCAATGGCTGTTTTTTTGGTTGTGCAGTGTAATGCAAGATTACGAAAACAATGACTTATTTAAGAATGTTTTTTCAATCTTCTAATGATATTGTAAGATACATTTTAAACGTACAAAAATAAAACTGTCATGCACATAATACCAAATTAAATTGCTCATTCAAAAATTGTTTGCGTTTGATTCCATGACAACGTATATTATAGTACAGATGTACTCGACATGAATGTCCACAATTTATGTTACACTGAAGAAAAAAGGCAAAATATAAACAAGTAAAATATTTATGATCACCGTTAAAACTGTAAAATATGAAGATAAAACGAAAAAAAAAAAAACGACTGGCTGTATAATTATATGTACCTGTTCTAAACTATACCATTTAATAACACCACCACTAAAAAGTAATTTCATCTTTTTTCTTTAATAACTCTCTTGGTGACAACAAAATCATTTATGCGTTAGTGAGGATAATGAAGAGAAAACACAAAAACATGACAAACTTCACAGGAATTCGAACGTGAACGCAAAATCTCCCATTTGAGGTCATAAATAAGGTCAATGGCAACATGGTAACTCCACATCAAGATGCATAAATAAAACTTTATTGACATCAATGATGTTTTCCCAACAACTCAACGAGCCGGCGGAAAACACGACCACCACAATTGGCATCAAGATGCTCAAGCTTATCCACTGTGTTGTGACGCTAACATGCTAGGTTAGCATCCAAGGCGTCTCTGAAATGCAGCCCGCGCATTTCGTTGATCGAAAAACGGTAACCGCCAAAAACAACAGCCGGCCTTGGTTTTAGCTGTAGCGGCTTGGCCCGCGCTAGCTAACCAGCAGCTAGCGTGCGGCTCCGCCCTTGGCAAAGCGATAAAGCTTGTCAAAAAGCAGACTAGAAAAGTCTTCCAAAGAGGTGAAAAAGCAGCCGTTAGCGAACGTAGCCATGCGCGCTAACGCATCGAGGGGCTTTTGCGGAGGACACTTTGCTTCCTTTCTTTTTGGGGGATGACATCTCGGGTCGTCTTCATGCTTATGCTCGATGTAGCAGCGTGGATCTGCAAAGACCACCCAAGACAAATAATCCAGGTCAATTTCACAAATCGATGAATTACGGTGCAACAGATTTTGAGTACGCTTTCCAGTAGCACGGATGGGAGAATGAAGAGAGAGCAGTCGCGCCGACGATAATTACCGAAGCGACTTCCATCGGTCCTTGTCGATGTTGTTGTCGGGACCTTCGCTCTCGTACGACGCCAGACACAACGCTACAAATAACAACGGGGGAAAAACGTCGTGAGACGAAACACGTCGGCGCACCCCCGTCACCACTCCAATCCCAAATCAAGCTCAGATGTTTTAGTCGCCTTTTCCAGACATTTGTGTTTGCCTTTGAGCAGGAGCGCGCCTTTTTTTTTTTTTTTTTTTTTGGCCTCCTTAATGGTGATTTTTTTTTTTTTCTTTCGAATGACATGGCAGAATGACTTTCGGTGCGTTTGCGCGTGTGCGTACCGTCTTCGCTGTAGACGGGCGCGGTGAGCAGATAGTGCAGAATCTTGCGGTCCTTGTCGAAGGGACACTGGACGGCCTTCCAGCTCATGAACTCGCTCACTTGCTTGGCCAACTCCCACAATTTCTACAAAGCACAAAATCAAAATAAAAAAAACGGAAAAGCCAAATAAATAAATATAAAAATAAACACAAGTCCTTTCATAACACGGAGCCGTTTTCGGATCATCTTCGGCCCTTTATGCGGGGAAATTTGTTTTTTTACTTCATGTAAAATGAATCCTGTGTTTTCTCAACCCCATCGGGACTTTTTCGTCACCTGACGAGAATCAAGTAACACGTGTTGTTCTTTGTTGTACCCTTTTGTAAGATGAGCCTTTTCATCCATGTTGCATCTTTTGAGCATTTTTCATCAAATAAAAAGATGTTATTCTCATTCTTTAATGCCGAACTTTTTGCAATGCCGTTCTCGTAAGATTCCACCTTTTGCCATCAAATGAAGGAGTCCTCATTTCAAGGTTTTATGTCTTGTAAAAAGAAAAGTGCGGGACGTTGTGCTCCTCCTTTCAGTCTTGGGTGTGTGCATAGAATTTGTTTTTAAAATGAGGACCTGTGCCTCAAAGTAGGTACAATGTCTGATTTTGGTGTCTTTCTGTGAACCAAAATAAAGGCCAAATCAATCGAAAACGGAAGCTGTGAAGCAGCAACATGACTGGAAAAAAAAAAACACCAAAAAAAAAGTCCACGCACGAGTGGAAAAGACCCAAAGTGTGACGAACGACTTCTCTTTTCTGCGTGGAGACGCTCTTTGGGGAAGTTGACGTTTCAAGAGACAGGAGGAAATCAACCCCATCCGCCCCCAGCCCAATAAAAGGCCCCATTTTGGGGGGTTTTTGTTTTGTTTTGTGTGGTCACCTGGAAGTTGATGTGCCCGTTGTGCAGTCGGTTCGCGCAGCTTTCGTTGAGGAAGTAGATGTCCTTGATGAGCAGGCTGAAGAACGGGATCACCATCTGGCCAGACGGGTGAGAGTCACATGCAACGAAAATCAGCGACGGAAAACTGTCGTGGTCATCACACAGCATGCTCCCCGGTGTTGTGTAGGACCCAAAAAAAAGACCCCCCCCCCGCCCCCCCAAAAAAAGGTCTAATAAAGAGTCCAGCTTGAAGTGTTGGCGGTCACGGTGGTGGGTTGCGTCACAGCGAGGTCATGCGGGCGTGTTTGAGAGCCACGTTGTAGTTATTTTGAAGGAAAGGCAGCATGACAGGACAGCGCGTTGCATAAGCGGAGAGGTCGCTCCGGCCGGCCGGCCGTTGCCGCGTGACCAAACAAACAAAGCAAAACAACTGCCGATTCTCATCATGTGAAAATGTCAAAGTGGGGACGGGCAAAGGTTCCGTTCCTCCTTTTTTCTTCTTCTTAACAATAAAAAACAACTTTTTTTTTGTTACCATCAACAATTTAAAACGTATGATTGCTTAAAATAATTTGAATTTATTTTTTTTAAATAGTATTTTATTTTTTAAAATGTGAAATATTGAAGATGCGCTTAAAATTATACATACAGTAAAACTGTTTTCGGTTTTCTGTGTGTAAAAATACATTTGTCATTATGCTAAACAGATTTTTAACTGAATAATTATAAAAACATTTTTACAAAATATACATAACTACCAAATTTAGCATGAAATAATTAGTTCAAACAATCAAAAATACAAAAACAGTAAGAATGACTTCACAGCTGTGTTTTGTAATTATTTAAAAGAGCATTAAAGAAAAAAATCATTTTTTGTGGAGAAATATTTAACTAAATAAATGATTTAAAACAATCTAAACAAATACGAAATTCAAAATATTTTAAAACTTACATGACAAATATTTTTTTCTAATCACTCAACATAAAAATATGAGCGTCAACATTTATGTCAAAAATGTTTTAACATTAAACATTACAAATATGGAAAATTACATATAAAAGTGTTAATTATTTGAAAAAACTATTCATCAAAAGATTCACACATAAATTGATGGTCTTATAGCTTTGACATTTTTTTACAACATGAAACATTTTTTTGACAATGTGATCGTGACAACTGCCAAGAAGAAAACAACAACACTGCGGAGGCACCCCCGCCCCAACGCCCCCACGCCCCTCGGGTGACAGCAAGAGGAACGTAGCAGACGTGCTGGAACGTTCCACTTGGCGACCCCTGACCCCTGGCGTAACCCGATCTCTTCAAACAAAGCCCACATTCCTCGTGGGGGACGCAGGCACAAGATATCCAAAGTTCTCCTCACGTCGCGGCTTAAATCAAAATCGCTGCTCGGGAACGCCATGTGATTCAGTGAGGGAGGGGGATGGGGGTGGGGGGGGGTAACCATTCGTCTTTATTAAAAACGTAACTTTTATTTCCCGACCATTTGGGATCGTCGCGAGAATACTCGAATTTTCAAATATCCGATGTGCTGAGTTCCGTTTGTGACTTTTGGGCTAAAGTGCCAAAGGCGCACCGCACCTCACCTTCTCCCTGCTGCTGTTGGCAGTGATGGAGCGCTGGGTGGCGCCGCGCAGCGCCGTCCTGTAGTTGTAGAAGTTTCCGGAAGGATCCATTTGGTGCTGCGGAGACGCAGGACAAAATGCACCGTTGGAGACAAAAGTATTGGGACGCCCCCACCGCGTCGACGTGACACGGACGAAAACGGCGCACCTCCAGGATGTCAAACTTGGCCGTCTTCACTTTGCTCCACGTCTTCTTCAGGCGGGACACGGGACTCATATTCATCCCAGCTGGCATGAACAAAAACAAAAATAGAGATATATATCACAAGAGCGTGTCAAACACCTGGAGGAATCCAATTCCATGCGCAGCAACACACCCCTTTTCTGCCGCCAAATACAATGGCATTAAGGTATGCCTCATTTCCCACTTCATAGCGTTTAAAAAAAACTCCCATACACGAGTGCCGCAAAAAAAAAAAAAAAATCTTTCCAGAAGGCCATGTTGGGGACTACCTGGGGGTGCGCATTATTGGTCATGTAATGGCTTTTATAGGGGTTACCAGACTGAATGGCAGAGACATTTTGTTTGTGTCTCGCACACTCGGTC